TTTAAAAGTAATAATATGATAAAGAATGGGGTGAAGTGTAAGCATAATATTTTTAAACTATACATAAACTAGTATATTCTTTAAAGACAGAGTGTGATGAATTAAATACTAACTTTGTAAACCCTGTAGCAACCATTATTTTTTGAAAGTGACCTAAGTAGCCAAGAGTAGAGAAAACATAAGTGAATGATAAAAATACTAAATCCACCATCAGGCAGAAAAACAGGAAAATTAGGAATAAGAAAAGGATGAAACACAGAAAACACCTAGAAAGCCAGTAGATTTAAATGCATGTATATAACAAATTATATTAATATAATGATCAAAATGCTTCAATTAAGACAAATTGTCAAATTACATAAAAATAAAAAAAACAACAGTATACTTTCTAAAACAAATCCATTTTAAATTTGAAGACCTTTGTGAAAGTTGGGTAAAAAGATAGAAAATACAATCACTAAATCTTACAGCTACAATATCTTAGAGCTATTATTACTTAATAACACACACACACAGAAAAAGACCAAATAAATGAAGTATAAAATAAGTATAAAATCTTAGAGCTATTACTTGTTAATAACACACACACACACACACACACACACACACACACACACACACACACACACACAGGGAGAAAGAGAATGATCAAATAACTGAAGTATAAAGAAAAATGGATGTAAGAGAAATAAAATAGCATTTCATGTCTTCCAGCCAATTATGTCTTGATTTTCTTAATTTCTATGGCTTTTTAGAACTCCACAGCCTGAAAAATAAATGAAATTTCGACTCCCTCCAACCGGGTACCCTCTGACTCTTTGCCATTTCTTTGCACCCAGGTTGTTGTATTCTGTGTCTGTGCATCACAGCTAGAGATTTTGGACAATAGAAAGCTTTGCTGAGTGGTTGGTCCTTCCTACTTAATTAGCAATTTTTTTTTTTTTCTGTTTGATTTGGTTTTTGTTTTCTTGAGAGAGGGTCCCACTTTGAAATTCAGGCTGGAATACAGTGGCACAATCTCCACTTACTGAAACGCCAGCCTCTCAGATTCAAGAGAGTTTCCTGCATCAGCATCCTGAGTGGCCAGGATTACAACAAAACAAAACCAAAATCTGCATGTTCACATCTCACTGAGGGCAGGATGGAAAGGTGAGTGCTGGGGGCTAGAATTTACAAAGTTTCTTGGCATAAACCTTGGTGGCCATGCGAAGGCATACACCTATAGGGACTTGAATAAAGGCTGCATGAATGGGGAGCATTTGGTGTGGGATGCCACATTCAGCCATTCAGCGTGCAGTGCCCTTCACAAGGAGGTGTCATTCATGTGGACTAAAACATGAATCCCACCTTCTTGAGAAGAGTAATGTACAGCATGTACTGCGCACGTGGTGTCCCTGGGGATGGCGCTGTAGCTGCACGCACAGTGATGCCTGTTCTGGATCCCGTGCACCCGCTCTTCAGTGCGGGGCTACTTCAAGGAACTAGTCATCATTTGCAAGCCTCCTCCTTTAGAATCTTTTAGGAAAAAGACTCTCCTGCCTCTAAGGTCCCTTCATTGCTGATCCACAGTGTCCATTTTCTCTCAAAGACTAAGAAATTTTCTGATTGACTTTTAAAATACCTTTCAAAGCTTTATGTCACCAATTTATGAAGGGGTAAGCATAGTCCACCCAAGAATATTTCCCTCTTTTTAATTATCTTTGTGTCCCCATTTTTTAAGAATATATTTGAAGAATGGAAGGGTATGAGAATTGATACTCAAGAGACAGTTCCTAGGCTTTTCTTCCCATTTGCTTGTGGTGACAATTCTTAACTCTTAACCTAATGGAGCTAAATAGAGGGAAATACACACCCACACCCACCCATACTCATACCGAGAGAGAGAGAGAGAGAGAGAGAGAGAGAGAAAGAATACACACGTTTGGGAAGTAGGTGATAAATAAGCTATTTATATTGTAGAAATGTGTAAAGAATGTTATACATAGTATGTGATTAATACAAATTTGATTCCAACTGAATTAGAGGCTACAGCAGATACACCAAAAGGAAGAAACTATAAAAAAAATTTGCAATGTGGTTACAAGTAGGATTTTAGTTTATGTTTTTTTAGATTCAGATTGTATGAATATCTATGAGACCATTAGCACGCCTGTGTATACTAAGAACTTTACTAGTTACTTTTTAAAAATTATGTGTTTTTAATAAAATGTCAGTTCTATGAGCATGTTTTGAGTCTGTTCTGCTCCCTGTTGTAGTCCTAGCACAGGAAGAATCCTGGCTTACTGGTTTCATATTCATTCTGCACCTTCCTTGCTATAGTATAATTCTGTCACATCGTTAATGTGAATGTATTAGTTTATCTTCATAATTTATAATAAATTAACGTTTATTACGGTTAGCAGTCAGTAACATGGAAAAGCAAGAACTCTAACTGAACAGGTTGACTATATATTGATCTAAAAACCTCAGAAGAGAAAAAATAACTGTCAAAAACAAGTTTTACACTTTTCCAAGTTATTCTTGTATCAGAATTCTGTCAATAAAAAATACATTTTTGTTGATACCTTTTTTTTTTTTTTTTTTTTTTTGGACCATGAGGGTAATTCTTATTTATTGCAGATCAACTTGGAAAAAGGTATGAAAAACATGAATAGCATTAATGAAATAATGCACTGATACCAGCAATATCATAATGTAAATACAGTGTTTGATAAAATTTAGATGTGGATCTTTCCACACATTTATCTGCATTTATTCTAAGGTTTCAGGTTGGGGTCAACAATTTTCTACCATTCTGTTATAAATGATTTCAAGTAAGGAATCATGAATATTTTATGAAAACATTCGGTAGCCTAGTAACTAATTTTGAAACATAATGTTATGTGCCATCTTTCATTCTATCATAGTTTTTTGGTTGATTGATTTTTGACTTGATTTTATAGCATTTTCAGTATTTTAAATATTTTCTAAGTCTTTTCTTCTTTCTCTCAGATGTACTAAAATATTCCATTTTATGTAGTGGTTTATTTCCACTATTTAATTCCACCAGAATTCCACCCCTATGATCCAGTCACTTCCCAACAGGCCCCACCTCCAACATTGGGGATTACAATTCAACCTGAGATTTGGGTGGGGACACAGATGCAAACAGTATCACTACTGGAAAAAGTAGACTTCACAGATGAGCAAATGAAGAGCTTCAGGAACGGCAACAAATGGTTATGTTAGAAAAAAGCAAATTCTTTGGAGAGGTAAATATTTCTTTCGATGGGCTTACAGTTACCTCTGTAATTAACACAAAAATAACATGATAATTTTTTCTGACAAAGAATATTTTGATTATTCACTCCAGGAGAAATGCATTACCAGACACATTAGCGCCTTTTCTCAGGCAGAGAAAATATCAGGCAGAAACCCAGAATGGTAAAGACGAAGATATGAATGTGAAAGGGAAGTATCTCAGACCTCCAAATCACTAAGTTAATGGGAGATTCAAGCTGGGAACTGCTTAGGGCAAACAGGCCTCCCGGTCTATTCACAGCCATCCCTCTGCCCACTGTAATTAATACATATCTGATTGCCTCCTTTTGAAAGATTAATCAGTAACTCAAAAGAATGTAATTGTTTATCTGTCACCTACCTGTGACTTGGAAGCCTCCTCCCCATTTTAAGGTGTCCCACTTTTGCTTCCAGTTGTCACTGCTTTCTGCGGACCAGACTGAACAAATGTTGATCTTACGTATGTTGATCTATGTCTCACGTCTCTCTAAAATGTATAAAACCAAGCTGTGCTCTGAGCACCTTGGGCACCTGTCACCAGAACTTCCTGAGGCTGTGCCATGGGTGTGCATCCTCACACTTGGCAAAATTCACTTTCTTTTTTTTTTTTTTTTTTTTTAAAGACGGGGTTTTACCATGTTGGTCAGGCTGGTCTTGAACTCCCAACTTCAGGTGATCCACCCGCCTTGGCCTCCAAAGTGCTTGGATTACAGGCGTGAGCCACCGCGCCCGGCCGGCAAAATTCACTTTCTAAATTACCTGAGACCTGTCTCAAATATTGAAGTTTCACACAGAGGACAATTTATTATGTTATTAATGAGCTCGTAATAATTCATAGTGTAAACAAATATGTGTGTGGGGACTAGAGCTTTAATAAAATTTTTAAAAATATGACAAAGGATGGGTAAATTATACGCATATTTTGTTTTCACTGTACATAAACTAGTATAATACTGTTTCAAGACAGAGTGTGACTAATTAAATAAGAACTTTGTAAACTCTAGAGAAACCGCAGTTTTTTTAAAGTGACCTAGCTAATAAGCCAAGAGTAGAGAAAATATAACTGAATGATAAAAATACTAAATCCACCATCAGGCAGAAAAACAGGAAAATTAAGAATAAGAAAATGATGAAACATGGAAAACAACTAGAAAGCCAGTTGACTTAAATGCATGTCTACAGAAATTATTTTAATATATATGATCAAAATGCTTCCATTAAGAAAGAAATTGTCAAATTACATAAAAATAAGAAACAACAGTGTACTTTCTAAAACAAACCCATTTTAAATATGAAGACCTATATGAAAGCTAGGTAGAAGTATGGAAAATATATTAATGTAATCACTAAATCTTACAGCTACGAAATCTTAAAGCTATTATTAATTGTTAATAACACAGAGCCAGAGAGAGACAGAGAGAGAGACAGAGCGCAAGTGAGTAAATGGAGTATAAAGAACCATGGAGGTAAGGGAAATAAAACGGCACTTCTTGTCTTCCAGCCCGTTATCTGTCCTGATTTTCTCTCATATTAATTTCTATGGGTTCTTCTAACTCCATAGCCTGAGAAATAAATGACATTTCTGCTCTCTCCAACCTGGTACCCTCTGACTCTTCTCCACTTCTTTGCATCCAGGTTGCTGTATTCTGTGATTTTTCCATTGGAATTTAGGTCTGTGCATCACAGCAAAGTTTCAGGATAATAGAAAGGTTTGCTGAGTGGTTGGTCCTTTCTACTTAACCAGTGATTAAAATTTTTTTTTTCTGTTTTATTTTGTTTTTACTTTTGTTTCTTTGAGAGAGAGTCTCACTATGAAATTCAGGCTGGAATACAGTGGTGCAATCTCTGCTCACTAAAACATCGGCCTCCCAGATTCAAGGGAGTCTCCTGCATCAGCCTGCTGAGTGGCCAGGATTACAACAAAACAAAACCAAAATCTGCATGTTCACATCTCACTGAGGGCAGGATGGAAAGGTGAGTGCTGGGGGCTAGAAGCTGCAAAGTTTCTTGGCATACATTTTGGTGGCCATGCAAAGGCATACACCTACGGGGACTTGAATGAAAACTCCATGAATGGGGAGCATTTGGTCTGGGATGCCACATCCAACCATCCAGCGTGCAGTGCCCTTACAAGAAGGGGCCATTCATGTGAACTAAACTATGAATGCCACCTTCTTGAAAGAGTAATGTACAGCATGTACTGCGCACATGGTGTCCCTGGGGATGGGGCTGTAGCTGCACGCACAGTGATGCCTGTTTTGGGTCCTGTGCACCCACTCTTAAGTGCGAGGCTACTTCAAGGAACTTTTTGTGCCTTCTGGGACACTATACATAGGAACAGTGGACTCCTGAGAAAACCCATCCACTCAGGTTCTTCAAGAATTTATCTACTTTTGCCAAATGCAGCTTGCCTCAAATAAGAAATTCACGGTATAGAGGCCTCAGCCATTGTTCGTCAGCTGAGAGGTTTTACTCCAGATTCCCAAATTCTCTAAACTTTTCTCACCTATCAACTAGTCATCATTTGCAAGGCTCCTCCTTTAGAGCTCCCAAAACACTCTCCTGCTGTCAGGTCCCTTCATTGCTGATCCACAGTGTCCATTTTCTCTCAAAGACTGAAACATTCTTTTAAAATACCTTTCAAAACTTTACATTACCAATTAATAAAGGGTTAAGCATAGTCCTCCCAAGAATATTTCACTCTTTTTCATTTCCAGTTTTCCTCATTTTGAAAAGAATATATTTGAAGATTAGAAGGGTATGACATAATTGATACTCAAGAGATAACTCCTAGACTTCTTAACTCTTAACCTAATAGGGACAGATATAGGGAAATACACACACACACAGAGAGAGAGAGAGAGAGAGAGAGAGACAGAGAGAGAGAGAGAGAGAGTGCGAGCAACAGAAAGACAAGTGCCAGACTGTGTGAGGCCATCCGCAGCATGAAACTAGTGTGCAGGTTTGGGAAGCAGGTTATAAATAAACTACTTATATTGTGGAAATGTGTAAAAAATGTTATAAATAGTAAGTGATTAATACACTGATGGGAAAAACTATAAAAAACAATTTCTGTATAGTTATAGGCAAGATTTCAGTTTATATTTGTTTTAGTTTCAGGACGTCTGAATATCTATAAGATCATTAATGTCTGAAAGTAAAATCAAAATGAGTTGAAGTATCTTTTCCATAATGAAAACAATTGTACTAATAGAATACATAGAATCTGTGTTTTTTAAGGTGGGGTATGGCATTCTGAACCCTAAAAAAATTCTGTCATTGGATATACTGTATGTATATAGAATTATAAGTATATAATTTCTAAAACTGTATTATAGTGAATGCATGTTTACTTATATAAATTTAAGTGATATCCTAAAATGAAAGAAAGGAAGGTAAGAGAATGTAATTGATACAGCTCTTTTATGATTTCTCAAAAAGAGTAGTATATTTATGGTATTTATGGTTTTCCTTTAAGTGAAATAGGGTTTTGTATTACCCAATTTTCTTCCAGTTTATTCAGGTTTACCTGATGTAAAAACTGTATATATTTAATATATACAACATGATGTTTTGATATAATTATATATCATTCAATGATTAAATTAAGCTGATTGAAGCATAAAATAATATAAACAGGAAATATTTAGGTGAAACTCTATTGAAAAATTACAAGATCCCTGTGGTATGCAGAATAATAGCCCCCCCCAAAAGATGTTACAGAATAACTCCTGAACTCAAAAACATCACATTTTATGATAGAAAGAAATTAGCAGATATGATTAAATTAAATATTTTTGGATTGAGATTATCCTAGATTATCTAGGTGAGCCCAACAGAATCAGAAGGCTGGTTTAAGTAGGAGGAATGTGGTTAGAATAAGAGAAACATTGGAAAATGCTACAGTATTGACTACAGGTGGAGGTAAAGGCCGTGAGCCAAAGAATGGAGAAAGCAAGTGGAATCCAATAAAGACAAATAGATTTTCATCTAGAGCCAGCAGAAGGAACAAAGCCCTGACAAGTCTTTAATTTTAGCTGAGATACACCTAATTTAGATTTCTGACATTTACACTCTAATGTAATAAATTTTTGTTGTTGTAAACAACTAAATTTGTGGCAATTTGTTACAGTGTCATTAGAAAACAAAAACATATGTATGCTCAAAGTGTAAATGCACTAAGAAAATCAAGTAATTGCTAATTAAGTGGAGAAGAGTATCATCTTTATCGATTTAAGGATTCAAATCTCTAGATTGTTCTGTTGATCTATAGAGTTAATGCAATTCCAACCAATGTCTCAGGAAGACATTTGTAGATATTAGCATGATGATTCAAAAGCTGATATAAAAGGCAAATAAACTAGGATATGCAAAACAATATGAAAGAGAATCATAAAGCTGGAGAATTTACACTTGTTTTTTCTAAATTTACTGTGTATCTAGGTTAGCCAATGTAATGTGGTTCTGAAGAAAGGATAGATGAATAGAATTGAAGGAACAGAAATAATCATATGTGTCCCCAATTCTTTTTGACTAAGCTCTAAGTCTAATGAAGAAATAATAGTATTTAAACAATAAGATGTTGTAAAATGTGACATACATATGAAAAATATGACCCTGATCTGTATTTCAAACCATATACAGAAATTTAAAAAAATCTTGGGTCAAAACATACTATCGTAAGATATTTAAACTATACTTAAAGTAGTATAATAGTCTTTGTAGGCTGTGATGAGTTAAACATGAATTTTGTAAACCCTAGAGCAACGCTACTTTTTTTCAAGTGACGTCACTAATAAGCCAAGAGTGGAGAAAATATCACTGAATGATAAAAATACTAAATACCACCATCGGGTAGAAAAACAGGAAGTTTAGGAATAAGAAAAGGATGAAACATAGAAAACGACTAGAAAGTCAATAGATTGAAATGCATGTATATAATTATATTAATATAAATAATGTAAATGCTTCCATTAAGACAGATGGTCAAATTACATAAAAATAAACTACATACATTCTAAAACAAACATTTTAAATATGAAGACCTATGTGAAAGCTGGGTAAAAGGATGCAAAATATATTAATGCAAACACTAAATCTTAAGAGTTAAAAAATCTTAGCGGTATTGTTAATAACACACACACACACACACACACAGCCCAAATAAATGAACTACAAAGAGGCATGGAGCTAAGAGAAATTAAATAGCATTTCTCATCTTCCAGTCCATTATCTGTCTTGTCTGTCTCTCCCATTAATTTCTATGGGTCCTTTCCATTCCATAGCCTGAAGAAATAATGAAATTTCTGCTCTCTCCAGCCTGGTACCCTCTGACTCTTCTCCACTTCTTTGCATCCAGGTTATTGTATTCTTTGTTTTTTCTGTTGGAATTTAGGTTTCTGCAGCACAGCTGGAGTTTTAGGACAACAGAACGCTTTGGTGAGTGGTTGGTTTCTTCTACGTAACCAGTAATGTTAAGTTGTTTTTGTTGTATTTGACCGGAGCGTAGAAAGTTATCACAAGACAAAAGTATGCCAGATTGCAGGGTCATTTATTATGCCGGCAACCACAGAGGACTCACGTCTCTCCAACCTGTGGTGCCACAAGGAGGGTGCCACGATTTTTTATACCCGAAAAACCACCTTGGGAGTGGGGGTGAGGGGCGGGGATGGGGATGAAAAGGCTTCAGACATTCCGAGGGCTAGTGGATTCTGTAAATTACCTCCTGGGCAGAGATGAGGGTGGGGGTCTCCGGACATTCCAAGGGCCAGGGGACTTTTGTCATTCCGTTTGTTACTTAAGTGGTTTACAGAAGTCAAGATAAACATTTGTTTACACATTATCTGGTTAAGGTGGAAATCACAGACCTTAGTTACTTATTACAAGTCACAGGAGCCAGGATGGAACTAGCTTGGGCTGCTTAGTCTGGCAATTGCCGGTAAGCAAAGGCTAGCAATTCTGGCAGTTACTGATAAGAAAAGGTAAGCAGCTTTACATAGTTTTGAAGAACAAACTGGCAGTTCTATTTACAGAGGCCAAGGACAGTAGTTATTGTAAGGAGAATGGGGCAGCCATTTCAACTTATCTAAAAACAGTTTTGCATTTTATAAAATAGTTTTGCTCCGGTTCTGGCTCTAGGCCAGCACAATATCACATTTTCTGTTTGATTTTGTTTTTTTTTTGAGACAGGGTCTCACGTTGTAATTGAGGCTGCAGTACAGTGGCATGACCTATGCGGAATGAAACCTCCCCCTCCCAGGTTCAAGGGCTTCTCCTGCCTCAGCCTCTTCAGTAGCTGGGATTACAATGAAATGAAACAAAAATCTACATGTTAAAATCTCACTCAGGGCTGGATGAAAAGGTGAGCGCTTGGGGCTACAAGTTACCTAGTTCCTTGGCATAAATCTTGGTGGCAATGTGAAGGCAAACACTTATAAGGACTTAAATAAAAACTGCATGAATAAGGAGCATTTGGTATTTGGTCTGGGATACCATATTCAGCCATTCAGTGTGCAGTGCCCTTCACAAGGAGCTGTCATTCATGTGGACTAAAACATGAATGTCAGCTTCTTGAGAAGAGTAATGTACAGCATGTACTGTGCACGTGGTGTCCCTGGGGATGGGGTTGTAGCTGCAAGCACAGTGATGCCCGTTTTGGATCCTGTGCACCCGCTCTTCGGTGCTGGGCTACATCAAGGAACATTTTGTGCCTTTTAGGAGACTGTAGATAGGAACAGTGGACGCCTGAGAAAACACATCCATTCAGGTTCTTCAAGAATTTATCTGTTTTTACCAAATGAGGCTTGGCTCAAATAAGCCATTGTTTGTCAGTTGAGAGATTTTACTCCAGATTCCCAAATTCTCTAAACTTTTCTCACCTATCAACTAGTCATCATTTGCAAGGCTCCTTCTTTAGAGCTCCCAAAAACTCTCCTGCTCTCAGGTCCCTTCATTGCTGATCCAGTGTCCATTTTCTCTCAAAGACTAAAACATTTTCTGATTGACTTTTAAAATACCTTTCAAAGCTTTATGTCACCAATTAAACAAGAGTTAAGCATAGTCCACCCAAGAGTATTCCTCCTTGGCTTCTCTTCCCATTTTCTTGTTGTGACACTTCTTAACTCTTAACCTAATGGAGAGAGATGTAGGGAAATACACACACACACACACACACACACACACACAGAGAGAGAGAGAGAGAGAGAGAGAGAGAGAGAGAGAGAGAGAGAGAGACAAGCGCCTGGCTGGATAAGGCCATCTGTAGCATGAAACTAGTTACGTGTGTTTGGAAAGTAGGTTGTAAATAAGCTACTTATATTGTGGAAATGTGTCAAAAAATGTTATAAATAGTAAGTGATTAATACAATTTTGATTCCAACTGAAATAGAAGCTGCTGCATATACACCAAAAGGGAGAAACTATAGAGAAAACAATTACTGTTTGGTTGCAGGCAGGATTTTAGTCATGTTTTTTAAGATTCAGAATGTATGAATATCTATAAGACCATTAATGTCTGTAAGTAAAAAAAAAAAAAAATAAAATAAAATAATCAGTTGAGGTATCTTTTCCACTATGAAAACAATTGTACTAACAGAATACACAGATCTTTTTCCGGGGGACGGGGTGGGTAGGTGTAGGCATTCTAAACAGTAAAAAAAATTCTGTGAGTTTCAAATGCTGTATATACATAGAATTTTCCAAAGTGATAACTCTTTTTAGTATATTATTTCAAAAACTGTATTATAGTGAATGCATGTTTACTTATATACCTTTAAGTGATATCCTATAATGAAAGAAAAAAGAATTTAATTGTTAATCACATGCCTTTTATGATTTCTCCAAAAGAGTATTATATTCACTGGCATTTATGATTTTTCTTTCAGTGAAATCCTGTTTTGTATTATTCAGCCTTTGCTTTTCCCATTTATTAAGGTGTACAACTTGATGTTTTGTATATGTATTTATATGCAATGATTAAATTAAGCTAAGTGAAACATAAAATAATATAAACATAATATTTAAGTGAAACTCTATGGAAAAATTACAAGATCTCTGTGGCAGGCAGAATACAGCTACCACACCCCCCACAAATGGTGTTTACAGAGTAACCCTTCAACTTGTAAATATTACATTTTATCATAGAAAGAAATTAGCAGGTATGATTAAATTATATATATTTTAGATTGCAATTATCCTGGATTGTCTAGGTGAGCCCAACATAATCACAAGGAAACTTAATAAGTAGGGGCAAGGTGGTTAGAATAAGAGAGACATTGGAAAATGCAATAGTGTTGACTAGAGGTAGAGATAAAGTCCATGAGCCAAAGAATGGAGAAAGCAACTAGAATGTAAAATACACAATCAAGTAGGCTCTCCTCTAGATCCACAGGAAAGAACAAAGCCCTGCCAATGCCTTAATTTTAGTCAAGGTAAACCTAATTTACGTTTCTGACCTTTGGACTCTAATATAGTAAATCCGTGTTGTTGTAAACAACTAAGTTTGTGGCAATACGTTATATTATCATTAGAAAATCAAAAACATCTGAATGCTAAGAGTGTAAATACACTAAGAAAATCAAATAACTACTAAGTGGAGAGGAGTATTATATTTATGTATTTAAGATTCAAATCTATAGATTTATAAAGTTCTATTGATCTATAGAGATAATACAATTCCAACCAATGTCTCAGAAAAACATTTGCAGATATTAACATGATGATTCTAAAGCTGATATAAAAGGCAAATAAGCTAGAATATGCAAAACCATATGAAACAGAACAAAGTTGGAGAATTTACATTTCTATTATCTGTATTTACTACATAACTAGAATAGTCAACATACTGTGCTTCTGAAAAAAGGATGGACCAATAGAATAGAAGGAACAGAAATATCTATACATGTCCTCCATTCACGTTGGCTAAGCTGTAAGGAAGACATAATAGTATATGAACAACAAGGTGCTGGGAAATCTGATATTGGTATGAAAAATATGAACCTTGATCCATATTTCAAACCATACACCGAAATTAACACAATCTTAGGTCAAAATATCAAACTACCAAATTTTATGCAAAGAAAGGAGAGACAATATTTTGGGCCATTAAATTATTATATATGGCATCAAAATATAAAATAAAATTAAATATTTTAAGATAGATACTGAAAAAATTAAAATTTGTCATCAAATAAGACCACTGAGATAATAAAAAGGCAAACTACAGAATACTAAAAATATAAGTCACTTAATAATGTGATAAATAACATATATCCAGTATAAATAACTACATATAATTTAGCACTCCCATGTACACTAAGAATTTTACTAGTTACTTTTTAAAATTAATCTGTGTTTCTTAATAAAATGTTAGTTATATGAGCATGTCTTGAGTCTGTTTTGGTCTATGTTGTGTTCCTAGCACATAGATAAACCTAGTTTAATGGCTATGTATTCATTCTGGACCTTCTGTGCTCTGGTATAATTTTGTCACATTCTTAATGTGACTATATTAGTTTATTCTCATAATTTATAATAAATTAACATTTATTAGGATTAGAAGTCAGGAACATGGAAAGGGAAGAACTCTAACTGAACAAGCTACCTATATATAGATTTAGGGAGCTCAAAGGAAGAAAATTAACTGCCAAAAACAAATTTTATACTTTTCCAAGTTATTCTTATATTAGAATTCTGTTAAAGAAAAATACATTTTGTTGATAACTTTATTACTCTGACCATGAGCGTAATTCCTATTTATTATAGAACAACTTGGAAAACACATAAAAGGTATGAAACACAGGAACAGCAGTAATAATACCATAATACCAGTAAGATCGCAGTGTGGACACAGTACTTGATAAGATTTAAACGCAGATCTTTCCACGCATTTATTTGTATTTCTACTTAGGTTTTAGGTTGGGGGTCAACAATTTTGTGCCCTTCTCTTATAAATGATTTCAAATAATGCATCATGAATATTTTATAAAAACTGAGTAGCCCAGTAAATAATTTTGAAACATGTTTTTGGCAGCATCTTTCATTCCATCATGTAATTTTTTTCTGATTGATATTTGACTTCCTTTTATAGTACTTTAAATATTTTAAATGTTTTCTAAGACTTTTGTACTTCCTCTCAGATTTACTAAAATATATTATTTTAAATAGTGGTATTCCCCAATATTTAATTCCACCAGAATTCCACCCCTATGATCCAATAACTTCCCACCAGGCCCTACCTCCTACATTGAGAATTACAGTGCAACCTGAGATTTGGGTAGGGACACAGATCTGAACCTTATATTTCTGCCCTTGCCCCTCCAAAATCTCACATCCTTCTCACTTTGCAAAATAAAACCCAACAGTCCCCCAAAGTTGCAACTCATTGATGCATTAACTCAAAAGTCCCCAATCCAAGGTCTCATCTGAACAAGGCTAATCCCTTCTGCCCGTCAGCCTATAAAATAAAAAACAAGTTAATTACTTCTAAGACATAGTGGAGGTAGAAGCACTGGGTATATTCTCTGGAGAAATCAGCCAATAGAAAGGAGTTTAAGGTCCTGTGCAAGTTTGAAACCCAGAAGGAAAGTCATTGAATCTTAAAGCTCCAAATGACCTCCTTCAATTCATTGTTTCACATCCAGGGCACACTGGTGCAAGGGGTGGGCTCACAAAGCCTCGGGCAGCTCTAACCCTGTGACTTTACAGGGTTCAGTCCCCAGTTGGCTGGCACTGAGTACCTATGCCTTTTCCAGGCATAATTACAAGCTGTGAGTGGATCTCCCATTCTGGGGTCTGGAGGATGGTGGCCCTCTTCTCACAACTCCACTGGGAAGTTCTCCAGTGTGGACTCTGTGTTGGTGCTCTAACCCCACATTTCCCCTCTGCACTGCCCTAGACAAGATTCTCCATTAGGACTCCCCCCCTCCGTAGCAGGATTCTGCGTGGACATCCATGCTTTTCCATACATCCTCAGAAATCTAGGCTGAGGCTCCCAAGCCTCAACTCTTTCCCTGTGTACACACAGGCTTAACACAAAGTGGAAGCCACCAAGGATCATGGTTTGTACCTTATGAACCAGCAGCTGAAGCTGTATTGGAGACACTTTGGAATAAGGCTGTTGATAGAGTGACCAGGATATCCAGAGCAGTGTCTAAACACTGCAGAGAGCAATGGGGCCCTGGGTATGGCCCAAGAAAACGTTCTCCCTTCCTAGGCTTCTCAGCCTGTGATGGGAGGAGGGGCTACCGCAGAGGTCTCTGAAATGCCTTTGAAGCCTCCACATTGTCTTGCCTATTAACATTCAGTACCTTATACTTAAGCAGATTTCTGTAGCTGGCTTGAATTCCTCCCCAGAAAGTGGGGTTTTCTTTTCTACCATGTGGCCAGGCAGCACCTTTTCATAACATTTACAGTCTGCTTTCCTTTTAAATAAAAGCGCCAGTTTTACATCATTTTTTTGTTGCCACACATGAGCATGGGCCATTAGAAGCAAACAGGCTCCATCTTAAATGCTATGCTGCTTTGGAATTTCTTCTACCAGAAACACTAAACCATCACTGTCAAGTTCAAAAGTTCCCCAAATCCCTAGGGCAGGGACATAATGCCATCAGTTTTTTGCTAATCCATAACAAAGGTGACTTTCACTCCACTTCCCAATAAGTTCATCATTTATATCTAAGACCTCCTCAGGCTGCTGTTTACTGTCCATATCGCTATCAGGCACCTAGTGGCAACCCATTAAACAAGTCTTTAGGAAGTTTCAACTTTTCCTTCATCTTTCTGTCTTCCTCTGAGTCATCCAAACTCTTTCAACCTCTGCCTACTACCCAGTGCAAAAGCTGCTTCCACATTTTTAGATATTTGTAAATGGCTCAGGTTTTGTCGGCTGTACAGGAAGCATGGCTGGGAAGGCCTCGGGTAATTTTCGAATATCCAAGAGGCAAGGGAGGACCTAGCTACTCACATGGCCAGAACAGGATGAAGAGATGGGGAAGGTGCTCCACACTATTTAACAGCCATATCTCATGAGAACTCACTCTCATGAGAACAGCACCACAGGGATGGTGGCTAGACCACTGATGAGAATCCCACCCCCATGATCCAATTAACTCCCACCAGGCCCCACCTCCAACATTGGGGATCACTATTCAACATGAGATGTGGGTGGGAACACAGACCCAAACAACATCACTATTGGAAAAGTAGACTTCATGATGAGCCAATGAGGAGTTTCAGCACAGAGATAGAAACTGTGAGAAATGGCTATGTTAGAAAAAAGCAAACCAACTATTTTGAGACAAATTTTTTTTTCCAATGGGCTCATAGTTATCTCTATAATAAACACAAAAGGGACACAATTTTTTCAGATAAAGAACATTTCGATTATTCACCCCAGTAGAAACGCATTACAAGACATGTTAACACATTTCCTCAGGCAGAAAACATACCGGGTAGAAACATGAATCTACACAAATAAAAACCCAGAAAATGATAAAGATGAAGATTCGCATGTGAAGGGGAAATATCTCAGACCCCAAACTCCCTAAGTTAAAGGGAAAAGTCAAGCTGGGAAGTGCTTAGGGCAAAGCTGCCCCCCATTCTATTCACAGTCATCCCTCTGCTCACTGAGATAAATGCTTATCTGACTGCCTCCTTTGCAAAGGTTAATCAGTGACTCAAAAGGATGTGACCTTTTGTCTGTCACCTACCTGTGACCTGAAAGCCTCCCCACCACTCTGAGGTGTTCCACTTTTGCTCTGAGTTTTCTCTCCTTTCCAGACCAGACTGAACAAATGTTCATCTTACATATGTTGATCGATGTCTCATGTCTCCCTAAAATGTATAAAACCAAGCTGTGCTGGCCATGCGCGGTGGCTCACACCTGAAATCCCTTCCCTTTGGGAGGCTGATGCAGGCAGATCACTTGAGGTCAGGAGTACGAGACCAGCCTGGCCAACATGGCAAAACCCTGTTTCTACTAAAAACAGAAACTTAGCCTGGCGTGGTAGTGAGCGCCTATAATCCCAGCTACTTGGGAAACTGAGGTGGCAGACTTGCTTGAACCTGGAAGGGGGAGGTTGCAGTGAGCTCAGATCATGTCCCTGGCACACCAGCCTGTGCAAAGAAAGATTCCACCACCACCAACAACAAAAGAACCCAAACCAAGCTGTGCTCTGAGCACCTTGGGCACATGTCACCAGGACTTCCTGAGGCTGTGTCATGCTTACATATCCTAATCATTGGCAAAATTAACTTTCTAAATTAAGTGAGACCTGTCTCAGATTTTGGGGGTTCCCACAAAGGACATTTTGTTACTATTTTATCACTCAGTAATTAACAGTGTAAACAAGCAATGTGTGTGTGGATTAGAACTTTCATAAAATTAATTAACAACATGGCAAAGTATGGGGTGAATTGTAAGCATACTATCATAAGATTTTTTTCCTGTATGTAAACTAATATAACATTCTTTGAAGACACACTGTGATGAATTAAATATGAACTTTGTAAACCCTGGAGAAACCACTTATATATTTGAAGTGACGTAACTAATAAGCCAAGAGTGGAGAAAATAGAGCTGAATGATAAAAACACTAAATCCACTGTAAGGTAGAAAAACAGAAAAATTAGGAATGAAAGATGAAACATAGAAAACAACTTGTAAGCCAGTAGATTTAAATGCATGTATATAAATCATTATGCTAATATAAATGATCTAAGTGCTTCAATTAACATAGAATTTGTCAAATGCCATAATAATAATAAACAGCCATATACTTTCTAAAAGAAACCCATGTTAAATATGAAGACCTATGTGAAAGTTGGGTAAAAGCAAAAAAGGATGGAAAATAAACTAATGCAATCACTAAAGCTTAGAGTTAAAAAAATATTAGGGCTATTACTAACATACACATACACATACACACGCAGAGAAAGAGAGAGAGAGAGAGAGAGAGAATAAATGAACTATAAAGAAGCATGGAGTTAAGAGAAATTAAACAGCATTTCTTGTCTTCCAGCCCATCCTATGTCTAGTGCGTCTCTTGTATTAATTTCTATGGGTTCTTCCCCATGAATAGCCTAAAGAAGAAATGAAATTTCTGCTCTCTCCAACCTGGTATCCTCTGACTCTTCTCCACTTATTGCTTCTAGGCTATTTGTATTCTGTGGTTTTTCCATAGGAATTCAGGTTCCTGCAGCACAGCTAGAGCTTTCAGATTTGCTGAGTGGTTGGTTCTTTCTGTTTAACCAGTAATTTTAAGGTTTTTTCTATTTGATTTTGTTTTTGTTTTTTTGAGACAAGTCTCACTTTGTAATTCAGGCTGGAGTACAGTGGCAGGGTCTCTGCTGACCAAACCTCTGCCTCCCAGGTTCAAGGGATTCTCCTGCCTCAGCCTCCTGATTAGGTGAGATTACAACAAACCAAAACAAAAATCTACGTGTTAAAATCTCACTCCAGGCAGGATGAAAAGGGGAGTGCTGGGGGCTAGAAGTTGCAGAGTTCTTTGGCATAAGTCTTGGTGGTCATGCAAAGGCACAATACTCCTATAAGGACTTGAATAAAAACTGCATGAATAGGGACCATTTGGTCTGGGGTGCCACATTCAGCCATTCAGCGTGCAGTGCCTTTCTCAAGAAGGTGTCATTCATGTGTACTAAACTATGATGTCACCTTTTTGAGAAGAGTAATGTACAGCATGTACTGCGCACGTGGTGTCCCTGGGGATGGGGCTGTAGCTGCACGCACAGTGATGCCTGTTTTGGGTCCTGTGCACCCACTCTTCAGTGCGGGGCTACTTCAAGGAACTTTTTGTGCCTTCTAGGAGACTATACATAGGAACAGTGGATGCCTGAGAAAACACATGCACTCAGGTTCTTGAAGAATTTATCTATTTTTGCCAAATGAGTCTTGGATTAAATAAGAAAGACATTGCATTGAGGCCACAGCCATTGTTGTCACCTGAGAGATTTCCCTGCAGATTCCCAGATTCTCTAAATTTTCTCACTTATCAACTAGTCATCATTTGCAAGGCTCCTCCTTTAGAGCTCCCAAAAGACTCTCCTGCCTCTTAGGTCACTTCACTGCTGATCCACAGTGTCCATTTTCTCTCAAAGACAAAACATTTTCTGATTGACTTTTAAAATACTTTTCAAAGCTTTATGTCACTCATTAATGAAGGGTTAAGCACAGTTCACCCAAAGTATTTCACTCTTTTCAATTATCTTTTTTCCCCATTTTTTAAGGAGTATATTTGAAGAATGGGAGACTATGATAGAATTGATACTCTTCAGTATTATTGAGATATATCCTAGGCTTGTCTCCCCATTTCCTTCTGGCATCACTTCTTAACCTAATGGAGAGGGACAAAGGGAAATACACACACCACACACACACACACACACACACACACACACACACACACACACACAGCAGGGAGGGAACTGGGGAGAGAGAGAGACAGATATATATCTGTCTCTCATATATATATATATATATATATATATATATATGAGAGAGAGAGAGAGAGAGAGAGAAGCGCCAGACTGGTGTGAGGCAATCTGCAGCATGAAACTAGTTATGCGTATATGAGAAGCAGATGATAAATAAGCTGCTTATATTGTGGAAATGTGTAAAAAAAATGTTACAAGTAGTAAGTAATACAATTTTGATTCCAACTAAAACAGAGGCTACCGCATATACACCAAAAGACAGAAAGTATAAAAAACAATTGCTATATGGTTACAGGCAGGATTTTCATTAATTTTTTTTAGATTCAGAATGTTCGAATATGTATAAGACCATTAAAGTCTTGACATTGAAAAAATCAGTCGAAGTATCTTTTCCACAATGAAAAAAATAGGACTAATAGAATATATAGAATCTTTATTTTTGGAGGGGTGGCATTCTGAACAGTAAAACAATTCTGTCACTTGGAAGTACTGTATGTATGTGGAATTTTCCAAAGTGATAACTCTTTGTACTATATAATTTCTAAAACTCTATACTAGCGAATGCATGTTTACTTATATAATTTTAAGTAATATACAGCAATGAAAGGAAACGGAATTTAGTTGTTATCATATCTCTTTTCTGATTTCTCCAAAAGCGTAGTATATTCACTGGTATTTATGGTTTTTCTTTCAGTGAAATACTTTTTTGTATTATTCAGCCTTTTTACTTCCAATTTACTCAGGTTTATGTGATATAACAATTGTATATACTTAAGGGGTACAACATGTTTGGAAGTATGTATATATTATGAAATGATTAAATCAAGGTAATTGAAACATAAATAATATACATATAAAATATTTAGGTGAAACTCTATAGAAAAATGACAAGATCTCTGTAGTAGGCAGAATAATAGTTCCCCTCCAAAAGATGTTTACAGAATAACCCCAGAACTCAAACACATGACATTTTATGCTAGAAAGAAATTAGCAGGTGTGATTAAATATTTTAAGATCGGAATTATCCTAGATTATCTAGGTGAGCCCAACAGAATCACAAGGGCCCTTATAAGTAGGAGGAAGGTGGATAGAATAAGAGAAACATTGGAAAATGTTACAGTGTTGACTAGAGGTGAAGGTAAAAGCCATGAGCCAAAGAATAGAGAAAGGAACTAGAATCCAAAAAACACAGTCAAGTAGATTGTCCCCTAGAGCCAACAGGAGGAACAAAGCCCTGCCAATGCCTTAATTTTAGTGGCGGTAAACCCAATTTAGATTTTCTGTACTTTAGACGCTAATATAATAAACTTGTGTTGTTGTAAACAACTAAATTTGTGGCAATTTCTTATAGTATCAGTAGAAAACAAAAAACATCTATATGATAAGAGTGTAAATACACTAAGAAAATCAAATAATTACTAAGTAGAGAGGAGTATCATCTTTATGGATTGAAGGATTCAAAGCTATAGATTTATAGAGGTCTACTGATCTATAGAGTTAATGCAATTCCAACCAATGTCCCAGAAAAATATTTGCAGATATTAGCAGGAGGGGTTTAAAACTGATATAAAGGCAAATAAAGTAGAATATTCAAAACAACATGAAAGAGAATCACAAAGTTGGAGAATTCACATTTGTAATTTCCAGAATTAGTGCCTAACTAGATTAGCCAGTGTGGTGTGTTACTGAAAAAGGACAGAAAAGTAGAATAGAAGGACCAGAAATATCCATACCTGTCACTAATTCATTTTGCATAAGCTGTAAAGTCAATCTAATGAGGAAATAGTATTTCAACAAGAAGATGCTGAGAAATGTCATATATATGTAAAAGTACAAACCTTGGTCCATATTTCACACCACATACATAAATTAACACAATCTTAAGCCAAAATGTCAAACTATCAAATTTCATAACAAAAAATGTTTGACCATTAAATTATTTATTAAAATATAAAAAATTCATTAAAAATAAGTTGATAAAATAGACTTTGAAAAAATTAAAATTTGTCTTCAAATAAGACCACTGAGATAATAAAAAGGCAAACTACAGAATACTAAAAATGTATGTAATTTAATAATGTGATAACTAACATATATCCAGAATAACTACATACAATTTAGCACTCCTGTGTATACTAAGAATTTTACTAGTTACTTTTTAAAAATCACTTGTGTGTTTAAATAAAACATTAGTTCTAGGAGCATGATTTGAATCTGTTTTGATCTGTGTTGTAGTACTAGCATATGAGAAATCCTGGTGAAATGGTTACATATTCATTCTGGGCCTTCCTCGCTATAGTATAATTTTGTCACTTCATTACAGTGAATATATTAGTTTATCCTCCATAATTTATAATAAGTTAACATTTATTAGGGTTAGGAGTCAGGAACATGGAAAGGCAAGAACTCTAACTGAACTGGCTGAGGATATGTAAATTAAGGGAGTTCAAAAGAGGAAAAATAACTGCCCATAACAAATTTTACACTTTTCCTAATTATTCTTATATCAGAATTTTGTCAAAGAAAAATACATTTTTGTTGATATCTTTTTTTTTTCTGACCTTGAGCATAATTCCTATTTATCGCAGAACAGCTTGGAAAACGCCGAAGGTATAACACACGTGAATAGGAGTAATCAAAGAATACCATCATACCAGTAATATCATAACATGTATACAATATTTGATAAAATTTAGATGTGGATCTTTCCACACATTTATCTATACTCAGATGCAGATTTTAGGTTGGAGTGAAAAATTTGGGCCATTCTCTTCTAAATGATTACAAATAATGCATCATGAATATTTTATAAAAACATTGAGTAGCCTAGTCGATAGTTTTGAAATATGATTTTATGTGCCATCTTTTATTCTATCATATAATTGTTTTCTGATTCACTTGACTTGCTTTTATAGCATTTTCAATATATTAAATATTTTCTGTCTTCTTTCTCTCAGATTTACTAAAATATTACATTTTAAATAGTGGTTTTTTCCAATATTTAATTTTGCCATTATTCCACCCCCATGATTCATTCACCTCCCGAGAGGCCCCACATCCAACACTGGGGAATACAATTCAACCTGAGATTTAGGTCGGGACAGAGATCCAAACTTTATAATTCCGCCCTGGCCCCTCTCATATCTCATGTCCTTCACATTTTGCAAAGTACAATCCCAACACTCCTCCAAACTCTTAACTAGTTGAAGCATTAACTCAAAAGTCCCCATTCCAAAGTCTCATCTAAGACAAGGTTAATGCCTTCTGCCTATCAGCCTATAACTTACTTCTAAGGTAGAATGGAGGCATAAGCATTGGGTAAATACTTTTGAGAAATCAGCCAACAGAAAGGGGCTGTAGGTGCTGTGCAAGTCTGAAAACAAGCGGGGAAGTCTTTAAATCTTAAATCTCTAAAGTGATCTCCTTTGATATCATGTCCAACATCCAGAGCACACTGGTGCAAGGGCTGGGCTCTCAAAGCCTCAGGCAGCTCTAACTCTATGGTTTGCAGGGTCCAGCCCCCAATGGGCTGACATTGAGTACCCATGCCTTTTCCAGACTCAATTACAAGCTGTCAATGGATCTAGCATTCTAGGACCTGGAGGATGTTGGCCCTCTTCTCACATCTCCACTATGCAGTGCTCCAGTGTGGACTCTGTGTGGCAGCTCCAACAACACATTTCTCCTCTACATTGCCCTAGTAAAGGTTTTCCATGAGGACTACACCCCTGCATTAGGCTTCTGCCTGGACATCCATGGTTTTCCATATATCCTCTGAAATCTAGGCCAAGGATTCCAAGCCTCAAGTCTTGCTCTGTGCACCCGCAAACTTAACACCTAGTAGAAGCCACCAAGAATCACGGTTTGCACCATACAAACCTGCAGCTAAAGCTTTTTGGGAGACACTTTGGGCCAATTCTGGTGCTGCAGCAGCTAGGATATCAGGAGAAGTGTACAGGGCAGTAGGGCCCTGGGTGTGGCCCATGAAAGTGTGCTCCCATCCTAGGCTTCTGAGCCTGTGATATGAGGAGAGGTCTCTGAAATGCCTTTGAGGCCTCCCCATTGTCTTGGCTATTACCATTCAGCCACTTGTTACTTAAGCAGATTTTTGCAGCTAGCTTGAATTCCTCCCCAGAAAATAGGTTGTTGTTTTCCATCATGTGGCCAGGCTGCTAATTTTTAAAATCTTTACACTCTGCTTTCATTTTAAATATAAGTGCCAGTTTTTCATCATTTTCTTTGTCAACACACATGAGCATAGGCTGTGAGAAGAAACCAGGCCCCACCCTGAATGCTATGCTGCTTAGGAATTTCTTCTACCAGAAACTCTCAATCACCACTCTCAAGTTCAAAAGTTCTACAGATCCCTAGGGCAGGGGCACAAGGCCACCAGTTTATGGCTAATCCATAAGAAAAGTGACCTTTACTCTACTTTCATATAAGTTCCAAATTTCCATCTGAGACCGCCTCAGCCTGGTCTTCAGTGTCCATATCACTATCAGCCACCTAGGGACAACCCATTAAACAAGACTTTGGGAAACTTCAACGTTTCCTTCATTTTTCTGTCTTCTTCTGTCAGCCTCTGCCTCATACCCAATGCAAAAGCTGGTTCCACATTTTTAGGTATCTGTAATTGACTTATGGTTCTGTAGGCTGTACAGGAAGCATGGCTGGGAGGCCCCAGGAAACTTTCGATCATTGAAGAGGCAAGGGAGGGGGTTGCCCCTCACATGGCCAAAAAAGGAGAAAGAGAGATGGGGGAGGTGCTACACACTGTTTAACAACCTCATCTCCTGAGAACTCACTATTATGAGAATGGCACCATAGGGATAGTGCCTGACCATTCCTGAGAATTCCACCCCCATGACCCAATCACCTCCCACCAGGCACCACCTCCAAAATTGTGGATTACAATTCAACATGAGATGTGGGTGGGAACACAGATGTAAACCATATCACTGTTGGACAAAGTAGACATCAGGGATGAGCAAATAAGGAATTTCAGCACTGAGACAGGAACTGTAACAAATGGTTATGTTAGAAAATAGCAAGCTATTTTGAGAGATAAATATTTCTTTCGATGGGCTTACAATTATCACTATAATAAACACAAAAATGACATGATAATTTTTTCAGACAAACAACATTTCGATTATTCACCCCAGTAGAAATGCATTACCAGACATGTTAACACATTTTCTCACACAGAAAAAATAACAGGCAGAAACGTAAATCTACACAAAAAAATTACAAACCCAGAAAATGTTAAAGGTATAGATATGGATGTGAAAGGGAAATATCTCAGCCCCCAAATCACTAAGTTAAAGGAAAATAAAGCTGGGAACTGCTTAGGGTAAACCAGTTTCCCAATCTATTCATTGTCATTCCTCTGCTCACTGAGATAAATGCTTATCTGACTGCCTCCTTTGGAAAGGTTAATCAGTAAGTCAAAAGAATACAATTATTTGTCACCAACCTGTGACCGGAAAACCTCCTATCTACTTGAGATGTTCCACTTTTGCTTCGGTTTGACCCTCCTTTCCAGAAGAGATTGAAGAAATGTTCATCTTACATATGTTGCTACATGTTTGGTGTCTCCCAAAATGTGAAAAACCAAGCTGTGCTCAGACCACCTTGGGCACATGTCACCAGTACCTCCTGAGGCCATGTCATGGGTACGTATCCTCACCCGTGGCTAAAATAACTTTCTAAATGGCATGAGACCTGTATCCAATTTCGGGGGTCCACACGGGACATTTTATTATTATTTTATTGATCAGTCACTAATAATTCATAGTGTAAACAAATGTGTGTGTGTGGATTACGACCCAATAAAAATAATAATATGATAAAGAATGTAGTGAAGTGTAAGCATAATATCATAAGGTGTTTTAACTGTACATAAACTCTTATAATATTCTTTGAGGATACTGTGTCATGAATTAAATATGAACTTTGTAAACCCTAGAAAACCACTATTTTTTTAAAGTGACTTAACTAATAAGCCAAGAGTAGAGAAAATATAAATGAATGATAAAAATAGTATATCCACCATCAGGCAGAAAAACAGGAAAATTAGGAATAAGAAACAGATGAAACAGGGAAAACAACTAGAAAGCCAGGTGACTTACAAGCATGTATATAAAAATTATTTTAATATACATGATCTAAATGCTTCAATTGAGACAGAAATTGTCAAATTACATAAAAATGCCAAACAACATTATATTTTTTAAAACAATCCAATTTTTAAAATGAAAATCTTTGTGAAAGTTGGGTAAAAGTTAAAGGATGGAAAAATATATTAATGTAATCACTACATCTTACAGTTACAAAATCATAGAGCTATGATTATCTGTTAATAACACACACGCACGGAGAGAGAGAGAGAGAGAGAGAGAGAGAGAGAGAGAGAGACAGAGAGGCCAACCAAGTAAATGAAGTATAAAGAATCACGGAGGTAAGATAAATAAAATAGCATTTCTTGTCTTCCAGCCCGTTATCTGCCTTGATTTTCTCTCGTATTAATTTCTATGGGTTCTTGTAACTCCATAGCCTGAGAGATAAATGACATTTCTGCTCTCTCCAACCTGGTACCCTCTGACTCTTCTCCACTTCTTTGCATCCAGGTCGTTGTATTCTGTAATTTTTCCATTGGAATTTAGGTCTGTGCATCATAGCTGGAGATTTAGGACAACAGAAAGCTTTGCTAACTGGTTGGTCCTTTCTACTTAACCAATAATTATTATTTTTTTATTTTTCTGTTTGATTTTGTTTTTACTTTCTTTGAGACAGGGTCTCAGTTAGAAATTCAGGCAGGAAAACAGTGGCACAATCTATGCTCCTGGAAACATCGGCCTCCTAGATGGAAGGGTGTCTCCTGCATCAGCCTCCACAGTGGCCAGGATTACAACAAAACAAAACCAAAATCTGCATGTTCACATCTCACTGAGGGCAGGATGTAAAGGTGCGTGCTGGGGGCTAGAAGTTGCAAAGTTTCTTGGCATACATTTTGGTAGCCATGCAAAGGCATAAAATTATATGGACTTAAATAAAGGCTGCATGAATGGGGAGCATTTGGTCCAGGATGCCACATTCAGCCATTCAGCGTGCAGTGCCCTTCACAAGGAGCTGACATTCATGTGGACTAAAACGTGGATGCCGGCTTCTTGAGAAGAGTAATGTACAGCATGTACTGCGCACGTGGTGTCCCTGGGGATGGGGCTGTAGCTGCAAGCACAGTGATGCCTGTTTTGGATCCTCTGCACCCACTCTTCAGTGCGGGGCTACTTCAAGGAACTTTTTGTGCCTTCTGGGACACTATACATAGGAACAGTGGACTCCTGAGAAAACACATCCACTCAGGTTCTTTTAGAATTACCTCTTTTTGCCAAGTGAGGCTTGGCTCAAGTGAGAAAGAAACTGTATAGAGGACACAGCCATTTTTGTCAGCTGAGAGGTTTTACTCCAGATTCCCAAATTCTCTAAACTTTTCTCACTTATCAACTAGTCATCATTTGCAAGGTTCCTCCTTTAGAGCTCCCCAAAACTCTCCTACTTCTGAGATCCCTTCATTGCTCATCCACAGTGTTCGTTTTCTCTAAATGCTAAAAGATTTCCTGGGTAACCTTTAAAATACGTATCTAAGCTTTATGTCACCAATTCATGAAGGGGTAACCATAGTCCACCCAAGAATATTTCCCTCTTTTTAATTATCGTTTTGTCCCCATTATTCAAGAATATATTTGAAGAATGGAAGGGTATCATAGAATTGATACTCAAGAGACAGCTGCTAGGCATCTCTCCCCATTTGCTTATGGTGATACTTCTTAACTCTTAACCTCATGGGGAGAGATATAGGGAAATGCACACATGCACACACACCCACACAGAGAGAGACTGGGGGAGAGAGAGAGA